CTCATCAATGAGGTCTGAGGGGAATCTCCGGGTGTGATGGGGCAGCAGAGGTCCAGGGTGTCAAAAACAGAGGCTGGCCATGGACATGATGCCTACAAATCATGTGCAGACCACAGTGGGCAAACTCCCTCACAGAGCTGTCCTGCTGCTGTGGGACACTCACAGAGGGGCGTGGCTCCCCTGGGTTCCTGAAGCATTGAATTCCTACAGAGCAGTGTCCACGCCAGGGGTTCTCAACCTTCCTCTTTGCTGGGACGGTTTGATACAGTTCATGTTGTGGTGACCCCACCCATAAAATTATTTTCGTTGCTGCTTCATAGCTGTCATTTTGCTGCTATTGTGAACCATAATGTAAATATCTGTGTTTTCTGATGGCCTTAGGTGACCCCTGTGAAAGGGTAGTTTGACTTCCAAAGGGTTAGACACCTCTGGGGTTGGGAACCACTGGTCTAAGCTGACCGGATGGAGTCAGGGGCACAGGTGGTAGCAACAGGGGCTTTGGAACATGGCCAAGTTCCTTCCTGTCTGCACCTGTCACCAGAACTGCCCCAGGAATGGTGACATAGGACACTCTCTACTTGAGCCCAACTTCCCTTTGTGGTTCCCCAGGGCTCATGTGGCCATAGAGCCACAGAGACGCTGCCTCTGGGCAGGGGCAAAGGCTGCTCTCCTGCCCTTCTGTCAGGCTTCTGGGAGTGAAGCCTAAGTCAGAAACCTGACAGGAACCTAAATTCCTCCTGCAGCCTGGCAGAGCCCTCCCAGAGATTGCACGGAAGGACCGAGGAGGGGGTCCATGGCCTGAGACACTGCCAGCCCACCCATGGGACCACCGGCACACCCCCTGCCCCTGCACAGTGCTTCTGGTGTTCTTTCTTTGGTGTAGCCGAGAGGTCAGGCCTTTACGGTAGCTGTTCATTGTGGTCTGATGAGTGGTGCAGAAGAAGGTTGCTCACTTCTAGCCCTGGGCTGCAAACCCCACCCAAGGATTAGGAGAAGTCAGGTAAGATGTGTGTGCAACTGTGTCTGGCCAGCGTGAAGTGTCCCATCACATCACTACAGAGGCAGTCTCTGAACCACCATAATTTATGCCCCAGGAGAAGGAACTAATCAAAACACAGCCATAGTCGGGCAAGGATCCCCTAATAACATGACCCAGGCCTTTTGTGCACCTGGGTGAAGTCCAGTTTACAAGGCGTAGGAAATCACTTTGAGGGTTCCATGTCTGCAGAGCAGCTAAGGGGATGTGGCAGGGCTGGGGACAGAGCTTCCTCCACCTCCTACGGTGTGGCTGTAGCTCTCCAGCATGGGAGGCTGTCCTCGACTCTGAGAAGTTCACTGTGACTCAGAGTAAAGGCGGCAGGGTCCAATAACAGACATTTGCTGTTTGCCATGTGGGCACAGCCACTTCTGGGCTCTGTTTACATTCTTCATCTATGTTTGTTTTTTCTAATATATGGCGAGGGAATATGGCGAAGATCAGCCTTTGGGAATCCACCTGGCACCGTGGACACATGCATTTACCACGTGACAGGAAAGGAGGGTGGTGGGATGACCAGGACTTTCCCCCAAAGGCTCCTAAGGGTGTATGTGACATAAAGTGTCTCTGTGAGTGCATGTGTGACACTTACTCCAGAAAGACATATCTATGGCAAGGGAGAATAAAGCTGTCCTCACTCTTAGACTCTGCCACAGAGTCTTAGGAACCCAATGTGTGCCCCAAACAGCGAAAGCCAGGTGAGCCTGCCACCTTGTCTTGTGTTTAAGGAGCAGGACGACCTGTGCCAGTGTCAGCCCTGCTGGGGACAGTCGGACTGAGCTCTGTCCGGAGAGTTGTCTCTAAGAAAGTCTGGCTTTTCAAGGGTAGAAAGCACAGAGCCAGGAAAGCCAGCCGGCACCAGAGCCCATCTTGATATAGAAGCGATGTACCACCGGACGGTGTGGGCAGGAGGTGGTGGCTGTCCTGGGAAGTGCTTCCAGACCGTGCCAGCCTCACTGCCACCTGGAAGTGCTTCCAGACCGTGCCAGCCTCACTGCCACCTGGAAGGGGCTGCGTCCACGTGGGAAGAGAGTTTCCAAAAGCCATGGGGAAAGGATCGCTTTCCTCTGCTCGTCTGCTCATTCACTCATTCACTCTTCTGCCTGGGAACTCTGGCCTCACACTTGTGTGTGTCTGGCAGGGCGCCGTGGTGGTGGCATCCAGCCCACGGGGACAGTTTCTTTTTAAAATCACTCCCTTTGTCCCTCCAATTGCATCTGAACCATTTCCTCAAAGAGGATGCCACCTTCTGAGAAGACATTTGTCCTCACTTACCGAGGACCATGACTACCCAGGAGCACATGCAGACCTGTGTGGCTCTTGCTTCTACAAGGTCAGGACTGTGTCTGAGGGGAGCCTGTCTGTGAGATGCCCACTGCGGGCTGCACTTCAGTACTGAGCTGTTCTCCACTGCTGGTTCCCTGCTCCCTTTCTAGAAACCTTCAAGGACTCACCACTGAGGGCCCTGAGTGCTTGAACCCTGGGCAGATGCTGGAAGCCACTGTGTCCTGTGGGTGGCTGAATGCTGGGCCAATGGCTGAGCCTGAGGAAGTGACATAGGACATGGTTACCCAGTGGATCACACACCCCCACCCCCACCACACCCCACCACACCCCCACCCCCACCACACCCCGCCACACCCCGCCACACCCCCACCCCCACCACACCCCACCACACCCCGCCACACACCACCACACCCCACCACACCCCTGCCACACACCACCACACCCCACCACACCCCCACCCCCACCACACCCCACCACACCCCACCATACCCCCACACCCCTCACACCCCCACACTCCCCAGCCAACCCTTTATGAAACAGATGTCATGTTCTAGTGGGCGGGGCTTATAGTCCCCCAGGACATTTCAGAGCTGTTGCTCGTGTCACATTGGGCTGCAGGCTCTGTTTTGCTGATAGGGTAGCCTCTGAAACCGGAGAGCTCAGTGTCAGGTCTGGGTTTTAAAAGTGCTGACTTCTGAGCTGCATTTGAGCCCTAACGAGATAAAGGAAGCTGTTTCCTCTCAACAACCGGTATGCACCTCACTCATCAGCCGTGCACGGATATTAGACCAATCGCAGGTCTATCTGCCTACAGCAGCAGCACTGGCCCCGCTGTCACCAGGCACCAAGCCAGGTCCCAGGATGCAGATGGGAAGAGGCGTCTCAGTAGTTCTGAGGAGCCCAGGGCCTGCCTCTCTGTAAGATAGCGGACGTTATCACATGTTCTGCCTTGGGAGGGCCATCCTGAGGTGGGGAGACCACACTGGAGGATGTGCTGGCAGAGGCAATGATGGGCTTGGCGGACAGGCATCTGAGTGAGGTCGTCACTTGTTAGTGTAGACACGGAGGCAGCAGCCACCGTGGGGCTCACAGATGGGCCAAACATGCAGGATGTCCTCTCAGTTCCAGTTTGGAAAGATGACTTTTACACACAAGGCCACTGTGGGGGTTTACCCACAATTGGATGAGAGAGATTTCAGAGACCGTGGACACCATGAATGTAGGGAAGGACAGGGGACCCATTGCTCAGGACCCAGCAGAATGTCTAGTCACAGGCACAAGATGTTCATATCTGATGTGTTACACGTGGCTTCTAGGAAGTTCTTGCTTGTTGGTTGAAGGAAAGATAAACTTCCCAAGAGAAAAACTAGCTGAGATCCAAAAACCATGAGACCCTAAGCTGAGGAGGTTTACGTCTAGTGCTGAAGAAAAGGTGGGATTTTTGACAAAGGGACTGAGGGAGGAAGAGGAGGTAGAGAGAAACTGTGTAGGGTGAGGGGAATAAAATAAGAATGTACCAGCCCAGAACGCAGTCAACCGAAGGAGTTAGTGCAAGTCTATTAGATATGGTATGGGGCCAGGAAACACCACAGGGGAGTCGATTTCTCATTGCAGCTGGGTAGATACAGCTGACACGAGGGGACTACCTCGGGGCCTTGCTTGGTTCCCAAGGACCCAGGACAGATAGCCTCAGACTCACCTCTCTACCATAAAAAAGACAGTTTACAGCAACATAAAATTAAATGAAGAGAAACTCAAAGCAAGTCCACTGAAATCAAGAACAAGACAAGGCTGTCCACTCTCTCCATATCTATTCAATATGGTTCTCAAAGTTCTGGCTAGAGCGATAAGACAACAAAAGGAGGTCAAAGGGTATACAAATTGGAAAGGAAGAAGTCAAACTTTTGCTATTTGCAGATGATATGATAGTTTACATAAGTGACCCCAAAGTATTTTCTTTAATAAGAAAAACTTAGAAGGGCCGGCTTTGGGGAGCACTACATGTGGATTCGGAGATGCCAGATGTGTGTTCTGTGTTGGGTGAGTTTCTCACATGAGGGTTGACTTGGGCAGGAGTTTCATGACTGCTGTGGAGGCCCAAGGGAGGTCTTTCTCACATAAATCTGTCAGCCGTGCTTATAAAAATGTTTGAGGGAAGGAAACTACTTTTAGCATTTTGAAACCCTTAAACTCTCCTTTAGACATAGCTGCTTGAGTTCCCAGCTCTCCGGAGGATAGAGGCCCAGCTACAAAGCTATGGAGGCCTGTGGAGAGGCCATGCCATGCCCCTTCACTTGGAGGCCTGTGGAGAGGCCATGCCATGCCCCTTCACTTGGAGGCCTGTGGAGAGGCCATGCCGTGCCCCTTAACTCGGAGGAGTAGGCGGAGCTTGCTTTTCTACACATTCTCCTGCTCAGGACACAGCTGTGGACTCCCAGGTCACCCACTGCATCCATCCCTCATGGCATTTTCCTCTGTTTCATCTTCTTTCCAAACAGCAGTGCTCTCCATCTCTCCTAGGAACGCCACTGTGCACGATGAACCAGGGCTCACAAACCCAAGGGTATCATCCTCTTGACCTGGGAGTGGCTGCTACCCTCCCCAGTGTAGTCAGGCTCACAGAGGCACAGCCCACGAGGAAACGTGGCTGGCGCCCAGCAGATGGGGACTTAGGCGATTGGTGCAGAGCCCTTGCTTTATTCAGGAACAAGCCCGCATGCATGTTGGAAAAGCGTTGAAATCACAATGCAGAGGAGTCACGGTGGAGGCCAGTGCGAGCTCGGTGCCCCAGGCACCTTTCCCCTGAGCGTGGTGTCTGCCACCTTTCTCTTGGATCCCAGGCTGCCTGAGACTTTGCCCTCTTCAAGCTCTAGCTTCCCTTCTGTGTTTGGCCTCTGTGTGATGCAAGCCATGCCTCTCCACCCCCAGGCAGTTGTGAGGACTCCAGATAGGTTCTGACACCCTGTTCTCAGTTCTGGCTGTTTAACTATGGAAGGGACACTCAGGCTGGCGACCTGTGCAGACAGTTCCAATAGGACGTAGAGTGAACTAGATTTGGGGGCATAGGGAGACTGATGTCCTGTCAGCTTGTCCTGTCCCCCATGCCAGGAATGGTAAGACTTCGGGTGCTTTCCTGCCCTCCCACCAGACTCTGGTGCTCTGTCGTCAGTGATGGACATGGGGACTGAGTGGACAGCATGACAGATGCCCCTCATTCCTGGATGCAGTAAGGGCCGGCCTCCCCATGACTACAGCAGCAGGGACACTCTTGATGCACTCTTCCAAGTCTGTACAGCACAGACCGCAGGGTACCTCACCCAGACCTGTGAGAGCGTCCTCATCCTTCATCCCCTGCCACGGCCCAGTCACCTGCTTCATCATTTCTCCAAGTCAGCAGACTCTCTGGTCCCCAGGGTTCATTGAGCTTGTCACATTGAGCACTGCTCTGTAGCGAAGAGGTGGGTAGCTTTAGAAGGAAAACACATTAGCGTAGAAGGGAACTGAGGGTAAGAATGGGATTTTAAAAAATTATTTCTTGTATGTATATGAGTGTTTTGCCTGCATGTATGTCTGTGCACCACACGCATGCCTGGTGTGTGCAGAGACCAGAAGAGGGCACCAGATCTCCTGGGACTCGAGTTACAGACCCGTGTGAGCCGCTGAGTCATCTGTCTCTTCAGCCCCAATAAGATTGGAGTTTTTAAAAACGCTGTTCTCCAGCTGGCTGTGATGGTCTCTGATGCCAAGGGAGTGGCCCCTGCACCCACACCCCACCCTCGGGCCTCCTCCTTCCTCGTTATCATCTTAGATGACAGTATTAGTCCTGTTATCATCTGCTGTGCTCTCCTGGCCCCGCCCTCCACCTCCCTGCCCTTCTGTCTGGTGTCCCCTACGCCTTCCCATCCCTGCTTCCTTCCGTCCGGCCAGCTTTGCCTCCTTCCTGTTCAGTACTTCTGTCTCTTACACCCATGCTCACCACCCCTCCCATCCCTTCCTACTCAATGCCCTCCAGCCGTCCCGCTATCCCTTCCTCCCTGCCCCCTGCCCCCACCTCCCACGCGCCAGAGCAATGGGACCAAGCGAGACAGCACCCGCTCCGCGGTACACGTCATGAATGTTTCCAGTGTACTCCGACCTCCTTCCCCTTCTGCTGCCTGTACCCTCTCGCCTTCCTCACCCTCGTGGATGCCGATCTGAATAGCCTCAGGCAGCACTGAATCCAGGCTTCCAGCTACCTGCCCACAATGCTTAACACGGGGCCGTTGTGTTTCTGTCTGTGCAGCCCAGCTCCGTTGGCCTGGAAGCCTGGGCCTCGCCCTCCCTGCTGCCACCCCCACGAAACTTCGGCACAGACCTCAGACACACCCTGGCAGCTGGGTGGGGCTGATCAGCTCTCACCATCCCAGGTGTATCCAGGCAGCTTTGCTGTCCTTGCCAGGTGGCGACCTGCAGCCTCGGCCACTCCCACAGGGCTGTTCTTCCCCACTCAGCCTGCAGCAGCATCTGTGAGTCCCAGAGGCCCATCGGACCCCCCATGTCCTGAGCTCCTCCCCACTTCCCATCGACCTGGAGTCCGGAATTGCCTTCAGGAGTCTCAGGTGGGTCCTGGGACTGAGACCCCCGGTCCTTTAGGAGACTTAGGTGACTTTTGTGAACCACCCTGAGCCCTGGCACCTCTAACTGCAGATTAGCTTCAGCTTCCAGGGTTATGGGGACGGAATCTGATAGCGCTGTCCAAGGGGTCTTGTCTGACACCTGAGCAGAGGTGTCACCCTGGCCGCCCCTGTTGTTCCTGTGCCTGGTGTGCCAGCAGCATCCTGGAAAGATAGACATGGCCACACCCTCTGTGTCCCGGCTCCTGTGGCCTTTTATTTGACTTAGGTCCCACCTGTGTTTGTTTTCCGAGATACGTGTCTGCCCGCAGCTGCCAGCCCCACTGGATTGCCTGGGCTTGTGTGATGCAGTTGTCCACCAGAGATGGCCGCTCTGCCCACAGCATTGGTACCGGGCCAATGGCCTCACCCTTGGCCAACAAAGCTACCACTCCTGAAGCCCAGAGGGTGGACATGGCCAGGCATCCTGAGCCCACTGGACCCTGGCTTTTAGGCCTCTTCCAAGCTCAGGGGAAACAAGAGTCTTCCAAAGCCATCAGTTCCCTGGGGCTTGCGTGTCTGATTTCCCTGTTGGGTCTTCCTGTTTTGCTAATCAATAGGGGCATAGGTTGGTCTGCCAATAGTGGTGAGGCTACTCTGTGCCCTTTAGGAAGTGGATTCTGGGCCTGGTGTTGCATTTTCCCAAGGTTCTGGGTGTTTGCAGGCCCAGGCTCAGTCCTGGGGCCTCTCCCTGCGTTGGGCCCTGCAGTAAGTAAATGCTACCTCCACACTCACTGATGCTGCACTAGCTACTTTCCATGTTGTGTGAGGAAACAAACTACCTGACGAAAAACACTGAAGGAAGGAAGGGTCTGTCTGGACTCTGAGGTAGTCAGTCATGGTGGGAAAGGTTTGTCTGGACTCTAGGGTAGTCTGTCATGGTGGGGAGGGCTTGTCTGGGCTCTGGGGTAGTCTGTCGTGGTGGGGAGGGTCTGTCTGGGCTCTGGGGTAGTCTGTCGTGGTGGGGAGGGTCTGTCTGGACTCTGAGGTAGTCTGTCATGGTGGGGAGGGTCTGTCTGGACTCTGAGGTAGTCTATCGTGGTGGGGAGGGTCTGTCTGGACTCTGAGGTAGTCTATCGTGGTGGGGAGGGTCTGTTTGGGCTCTGGGGTAGTCTGTCGTGGTGGGGAGGGTCTGTCTGGACTCTGAGGTAGTCTATCGTGGTGGGGAGGGTCTGTTTGGGCTCTGGGGTAGTCTGTCGTGGTGGGGAGGGTCTGTCTGGACTCTGGGGTAGTCTGTAGTGGTGGGGAGGGTCTGTCTGGACTCTGAGGTAGTCTGTCGTGGTGGGGAGGGTCTGTCTGGACTCTGAGGTAGTCTATCGTGGTGGGGAGGGTCTGTCTGGACTCTGAGGTAGTCTATCGTGGTAGGGAGGGTCTGTCTGGACTCTGAGATAGTCTATCGTGGTGGGGAGCGTCTGTCTGGGCTCTGGGGTAGTCTGTCGTGGTGGAGAAGGCCTGGCAGCAGAACCTTGAGGCAGCTGTTCCCTTACACCTGCAGTGGAAACAGAGTGATGGGTGCTGGTGGTCAGCTTTCTCTCTCCTTTTTATTTATCCTAAGACCCCGGCCCATGGGGTGGGCTGATCCCTCATTTAGGGTGGGCCTCCCATGCCAATTAACTCAATTTAGAAACTTCCTCACAGACATGTCCTGAGGTTTGGCACTTGGAGACTCTAGATCCGCCATGTTGGTAGTAGTAACCATCACGGACACTGTAAAACACAGAGATAAAGTGGAGGTCAGTTAAAGGTGGACGGAAGCAGGGTTTCTTCCTTCTGCTGCTACTGCTCCATAGCCAAAGGCTGTAGGAAGAAAAAGCTTAAGTCCATGAAAACACTGGAAAGGGCTCACAAAAATGCAGTAAAACATAAAACCCAGCATCATGATTGTATCCCAAAGTCAGGAGTATGGGATGGGAGGCTGCCGGGGTCTCTGGGGAAATAGGGTTCTGCGTCTCCAGGCCTGACCTGGGAGGTTGCACTGGGACTTATTTCTAAGCAAGGGTTTGTTTGGAGTCAGACAGGAGGGGTACTGGGGAGACAGATGTACCCCCAGGAGGGCCTGAGCCTGTGTGCTTTGGGCCTGGCCTTGGTGGTACTGGAGGTTCTCAGGCTGCACCACCGTGCAGGGGCGAGATTGGCTCTTCTTCGATGGTTTGCCGTTTCTGTCCGTGATGCAGTTTCCTTACACCGAGTGAAAGGCTGGTCTTCTGGTTCTCCAGCTCCTCCCAGCAAAGTGCCTGCTTTCCTCCTGGAGCTCCGACTTCTGTACCTTAGAATGTTTATCCCTGGTGTGTCTAGTGTCTAGAGGGTGTGGGACCCTGGTGACCTTAGGGAAGGACAGCTGTGCTACCGAGGCTGGAGGAGTCTTTGGCAGGACAGAGCAGGTGATGTAACGCCATTACCTGGACCCAGCTCAGTCCTCTGTGCGGACCCATGGTCCGCTGGACTCACCTGGGGGTGAGGGGCAACGTGATGTCAGGAACCCACGTCACTGGTCACACATGTCCCAGGCTGCGGTTCTTTTGGGCTGAACTAGTTCACACCAGTCATTTAAAGTGTATGTTTAAAATATGACCCTTCTGGGCTGGAAGATGGGTCAACAGTTAAGATCAAACACTGCTCTCACAGAGGACTCGAGTTCCGTTATCAACAGCCCGCACTGGGTGACGGACAGCCACCTGTAACTCCAGCTGTGGGAGATTCAACACCTCTGGCTCCGCAGGAGCCTGCGCCCATGTGCAGGTATCCACACACAGACATGAGCATGCACATAACTGAAAGTAAAATGAATATTTAAAAATAGGATGTTTAAGTACTATGTGCCTAAAGTTGAAATTTGGTTGATAATGCTGTTTCCTCACATAAATAAGCCACCCATCCCTTCATGGGGGAGTCTGGACCACCGGTGTACCAGAACCTGGAATTCTCCTCAGTGCAGAGGGGAATTCAGAGCCAACAATCACTTTCCCTCAGTGGTTCTCAAACTGTGGGTTGTGACCCCTTCGGGGTTGCTTATCAGATAGTTACAATTCATAACAGTAGCACAATTATACATATGAAGCAGCAACAATAATAATTTGGGAGTTGTATTTTCTTTTGGTTTTTTTCCCAGAGTTTTCTTTATGTAGTTTTGGTTGTCCTGGAACTTGCTCTGTAGATCAGGCTGGCCTCGAACGCATAGAAATCCACCTGCCTCTGCCTCCCAAGTGCTGGGATTAAAAGGCATGCACCACCATAGCCTGGCAACAACAGTAATTTTATGGTTGTGGATCAGCATGACATGAGGAACTGTGTTAACAGCATTGGGAAGATTGAGAACCAATGCGGGTGAACAGTGAAGTCAGAGCTTAGGCTTGGCTGTCCCTCCCTCAGGGAATCAGCCTTCTCCTGATTCTTTAGTCCCTGCAGGAACTGTGCTTTGACTTGTCACGGTTTCCTTACAGGTATTGCCAGGTAGAGCCTGTCAAATTACCGTGTGTGTGTGTGTGTGTGTGTGTGTGTGTGTGTGTCTGTATCTGTGTGTGTGTCTGTGTGTATCTGTGTGTATGTGTGTGATTGTGTGTCTGTGTGTGTGTGTGTGGTATGTGTAAGTGTGTGTAAGTGTATGTGTCTGCGTGCGTGTGTGTGTATGTGTGTGGTATGTGCATGTGTGTGCGCGCGCGCGCGTGTGTGTGTGTGTGTGTGTGTGTGTGTGTGTGTGTGTGTGTGTGTGTGTGTCTGGAAATGAACTCAGGGTCCTGCACATGTCGGGCAAGGATTCTTCCACTCAGCTACCCCTTAGCCTTCAAATTACCTTTTGTTGCAGGTAGAAAAGGCCTCACCCATCAGCAAAACCACTTGACCCAGTACGCTGAATGATGTATGTGTCCCAGCACACTGAACAATGTATGTGTCTCAGCACACTGACGATGTGTGTATCTTAACCCCCTTGCAGAGTTTTCTGCTCCAATGGCAAAACATTGGGCCTCTGTTTGGTGGCACATGTGGCCCCAGGCTCCCACCACTGGCCTTTGTGAGTGTGTGTGTCCTCTTGGAGCATCTGATGGGGAAAAGACATGAAATGACAGCTGTCACGCCACCCCAGTCTTTGAGAAGTGTGTCAAGCTCCTCCATTTGCCAGGGGCCTGCAGCTCACTGACTCCTGGCTGTAACTCAGCTGTACACTCCTGAGTCCCTGTAACTATGTCAGCTGCTTCCCAGGCTGTGACCCTCCATGGGTGGCCACGCCTCATGATTCAGCTGTCTGCCTGGGTCTGAAAGCAGTCACAGACCAAGTAAGGCATTGTCCCCATACTCTATTCTCTCTTCTTGCAGGGCATCCACAGGGCTACCCAGCCGGTCAGACCTAGGGTCTGGCCCTGGAGACTGTCCAAGAAATTCTTCCCTGCCCTTTGGCCTTGCCCCTTGTCCTAGGTCTTGGATAAGGCGACTGAACACGCACATGCTAAGTAGCACACTTTGTGTCCACAGGGCTCATTGTTGCTTCAGGCAAGCCAGAGAGTCTCGTCCTGGTGTGACGCTGTAGGACCTGTCACAGAGCTCTGTGTGCAAGGGGGGGCATTAGCACATGATCACTGGCACAAGGGCAAGGCCCCAGCCACTAGTTGCCTGGGAATCATGTTATCCCAGGCCTCTAAGGACCATAGGAGAGCATGGAGGAGGCTCCCAGAGACATGTCTGCACAGCGGCTCTGAGTTTCCTGATCCTACCCCCCTGTCTAAGGCCTGGACAGTGTCTGGTACCTATCTGCCATGCAGTGTGCTCTGGGGACAGTGGCCTATCTGCCATGCAGTGTGCTCTGGGGACAGTGGCCTATCTGCCATGCAGTGTGCTCTGGGGACAGTGGCCTATCTGCCATGCAGTGTGCTCTGGGTATAGCAGGTCCAAAGCAGAGGTAAGACTGGGGACAGAGCTCAGCCACTAGAGCTGGGTAGCTCCCACATACGCTCCACACACTCACGACATACTAGCACACAGTGGAGCACAGGTAGAGGAGGACACAGAGTTCTTGTGTCCACACAAGGGGTGGGCTCAGGGGTCAGGAGGGCAGCTGCCCCATGACAGGTAACCTTGGGGAAGGAGACATGTGTGGGTTAGGAGCTGAACCAGAGTAGGTTTGAAATACACTTTCAGGAAAGGCGGCCTGTGTGGGAAGATAACATGCCCTCGGAGGGGTTTCATCCTTGCTGGGCATCTGCTTTCTGTAGGGCTGAACTTGACCGTCTCAGTCCCTTTTGTCCCTAGGGCCTGAATGGCAGTAGGTACATGAGCACGTCTATAAAGGAACACACACTCCTCTCTTGGCAGTGACCTCGTTCCTAAACTCTCAGCTTCTTTGACCATAGTCAACGAAGCTCAGCTAGTTCCCATGCACTCTGCTTTGGCTGTGACCATGAGAGACCACAGACCCAGAATGGAATTAGGCTCTCCCCTACTGTTCCGGGCTGTTCTATTACGCCTGCATTGGGCTTCTCCACTAAATGTCTCAATTCACTTCCAGTACTTCCCGGACTTTGGACTTGGCCTTGAATCTGCTGCAGGCCTTGAATCTGCTGCAGGTTGGGCTGGATACCGTATCTCAGGCATCGTCAGCAAAGAAGACCAGGAAGTTGGTCTTGGCATTGTAGGATGTCACCTTTATGTCATGTTTAAAGTGTGGGCAAGGCTCTCGGGCTGTGGTTTTAGGGAGGGGAGGGCACCGCTCAAGTCAAGTGGTAGCTGGTGACTCACAGATCAGACCTTCTGTTGGACACTGGAATCTTGTCACTGAGAGGTGGCAAGATTTCAGTGTAGTGAGAGGGTTATTCTCCCAAAAAGAGTAAAAGAAATCACGAAGTGACCACTTAGGGCCACAAGAACATCTGGAAGCCTGGACACAGGATAGCAGCCAGCTGTCTGTATCACAGTAGGTCTTGGTGGGGACGACACCCCTCTCCGTCTGTATCACAGTAGGCTTGGTGGGGACGATGCCCCTCTCCGTCTGTATCACAGTGGGCTTGGTGGGGACGATGCCCCTCTGACACATCACTCACTTAATGAGTCAGTGAGACTCTTCCTTGTGCTCCACAGTGCTCGGGTCACTGTGCACACTCAAATTGTGACAAGCAGGGGGCTGGGAACACAGAGAGCCTGGGAGAGAAGAGCAGGCAAGAAGAAGGAACTGGCCGCCCCATGAGTCTTGCTTCTGTCCCCAGGCAGGCGCTCCCCCTGTCACATGGCCCCTTCTCAGCAGAGGACAGGCCTGGACTTCCTCCTGTCCCTGAGATTAATAGTAACTCCCTACGTAAGCAGTTTGTTTCTCAGAATGACAGTTTTGCTTTCACTCCATACGTGCCGACCGCAGTGTGGTACCTGAAGTCACCCACTGCCTTCAGGGTCATTGGGCTCAAGCCCAGTAGGGGACCATGGACCTTCAGTGGCCTCAGTGGGGGTGGACCTTGGCAGCCTTGAATGTGTCTCCACAAAGTAGGTACTCGGGGTGGGGTGTACTCTCGTCTGCCTCAGGTTTGGGGGAACTGGAAGTTGGACAGGGGAGAAGGTGGCTGCCTACCCTCCATGCTGAGAATCATGCCTTGATCTGCTCTGGTGGCCTTAGCGATTGTGCTGTCCCCATGGGCTGGTGAAAAGGACGCACATGATGTCAGAGAATCTGAGAAAGATGAGGAGACCGAGAGGACAGGATTCACCTGGCAGGTGACACCCGCCAAGGACAGGGTCAGGACAAGGGGAAGGACGAGGGTGGATCCCAGACTGCGAGCCTGGCACATCTGTTTACATTGTGGTAGCAAGCCTCTGATGGCATGGCCGCCTGAGTCCAGACCAAGTTGGCCTGAGATATGTTTCCTTCTGTTGGTGGCAGGCAGGAGCACCAGATGTTTTGGAGCAAGTCATCAGGGTCAGCTCCAAGGGTGTGTGCCCAGCCACCAAAGTCCTAGAGCAAAGGCAAGAGACTCTCTTTATAATTTTGGTTTTGAGCCTAGCCTTTAACAGCTGAGCTATCTCTTCCACATGGAGGGATGCTCTCTCATCCTGCACACATGGGGGAGAGTCTAGGCCCTGCCCCAGATGATATGACAAGACTTTAGAGATTCCCCATGGAGGGCCTCACCCTCCCTGGGGAGCAGAGTGGGGATTGAATGGGGGGTTGGGGCTGTTGGTGGGGGTAGGGGAGGAGGGAAGGGAGAGGGAGCTGGGACTGACATGTGAAGCAATCTTGTTTCTAATTAAAATACAAAAATAAAAAAAGAAGGGGCTTCTCTTTGTATCCCAAATAAGAAGAAGAAAAAAAGGCAAGAGACTCAGATAAAGGAAATAATTCATTAGGCATAGATAACATTGGGGACCCCAACAGAGGTGAGAGGCAGGAAGAAGTTAGAGCTGCTGAGGGAGATCTGACCCTGATGGGGACCTGGGACAGAGAGGCTGTCACATGGCTGCTGTTCAGAGGAACAGGCTCAGGGCAAGTGTCCTTGCTCATCACCACCTGGTGGCTGTCACAGGACAGGAGTCGTGACTGCTGTCCGGGGAGATGGAGTCTTGCAAAGTCCTGCAAGACCATTCTTACTGTCTCACCCGGTTTAAAACTGGGGAAACTGAGGCTGCAGATGGTGTAAACAATGAGCCCAAGCTCCTGCAAGCTGCAGTTGGGCCTGGAGCCTGGGAGACCCCACTTCTGAGCCCTTCCCTCCACCACCACCACGGTGCCCACCCTCTGGAGAATGGAGGAGCCTGAGGGTCACACCCAGAGGGACAGTTTGCCTGGGTAGGGAGCGTGCCTTGCACCCAAGGGCTGTCCGAATGGACAGGACCTGGCTAAACTTGGAGCTCCAGTGGTTAAGAGCCTGCTCGCCCAGGCTATGCGGGTGGATAGGACCTAGCTGAGCTGGGGCCTCTATGACTTAGGTCCCTATGCCCGCTGTCCCTGTGGATGGAACCTGACTGAGGTAGGGCCCCTGCAGGGAGGGTCCAGACAAACAACAATCTGCCTGGCTCTGCAGCACCAGGACTCAGCTGCTGCCAGGCTCTCAACAGTTAATCACGTACAGCGGGATCAGTGAGCTGATTCTAGCTCCTTAATCAGGACATCGAAGCCAAATCCAAGACCCTGCAAGGAGCACGAGCAGCAGCCACAGCTCGCCCGCTGCACTCAGAGGCCAGCATTGCGCAGCAAAGCCAGGGAGGCAGCGTCCCCACTCAGCCGCCCAAAATGGAGCTCTGCGGGCTTCCTTTGTGCGCCCCAGGCGGGCTTGCCAGCAAGCTGGTCGCCGGCTCCTGACCGACCAGTGGTGAGGGCGACAGAATGACTTTGAGCCTCATCTCCCTGCTGTCCCAGGACGTCACAGCCCTGTGGCTCCTGCTGAAGACAAGCGCAGGTGCGTCTGGCTCTGCTGTGTCCCCTTTTCCCTAGGAAAGAGCGCATTTGCTATGGATGTATCCTAAGAGGCAGGGGGGTGGGGTGGAGTGAGTATGGGTGTGATAACCGGGTGGGGGACAAGAGGCCAGGTGGGATTGTTCCGGTGCTGGGGTCCTATTGTTGGCTGAAGACTCTTGTGGCTCATGCAGCCGGGTGCAGGTGGGGGTGGGGCATGGGCTGGCTAGGTTATAGAGAAAAACCACCCTTCCCCACAGGGCCGGGGGCGCGTGATGCCCTGCCCTCGTGGTCTGGGCAGTACCCCTCAGACCCTGCCCTAGCGTCCCCGGAGGACAACCGCAGTTCCGTCTGCTCCTACCTTCTAGGAAGGCTGGAGGCAAGTGGTCTCCTTTGTTCCTGATTTTTCATGGACATGCCGGCCGGCAAGTGGAAGATGCCTCCAGAGCCAGTGACATGGCTCTGGTCCCTCCTAGCAGGAGGACCTGGCAAGAGTCATCCCCTGCTGCTCATTTGATGTCAGAGCCTGGGGACAGCAGGATACCGGACTGGATGGCCCGCCCTGGCCTTTGGGCAGCGGCCTGGCTGTGTCCTGGGGGCTTCTGTAGTTGCATTTAGACGGGCTCTGCCTCTATGGGAGGGCATGTGCTGGATGATGGTACCAGCGGGCCCAGGGCTGGGCTTTGTCACTAAAAGATCAGGGCCCCAGGAAAGGGAGCAGAGTCATCCCAAGGGGCCTGGCAGAAAGGAAGTAGCTTGGAGTTCCTCCCTTCTTTCTGAGAGGAAGGGCACTCCTTCTGAAGTATTTTGTCATAATTACATTTCCTGGTGGTATTTCTGCGAAGCACTGATGAATGGCCCATAAAGGGTTTTTTTTTTCTTTGTGAATGTTAATGAATCAGCCCTCAGCTCTGTGACAACAAATAAATATGGAGTACCCGATTTTCCAGTGAAGCCACTGGGGCAGTGAGCTGCCCATAGAGGGTTCCCCACCATGTCAGAGGCAGGGGGCCACACAGAAGCACAGGTAAGGCCTGCTTGTTCCTTAGCCAGGTGAAGCTCTGAATTTATAACTGCCCCTTAATGTCAACCACTCAGAGGCCTTCCCTGGGGAACTTGGTAAGACTAGGGTGACAGTCTCTGCTTTGGCTTCCAGGAACCATTAGTCAGATTTCAGAATGAACGGCCAGTTCAGGCGATGAATGCAGCAGCAGCCTTCTGTAACTGCAGGCAGTTTTTCTAAGTGGACAGACACTCCCCTGTGGGCACCCAGAAGCCATTTTCTGGGACACCTAGTGCTTATTAGTGCCTGTGCGCTCCATGGGGACAGGTGGGCCTGGAAGCCTTCCCTGAGCCAGGTTGGGAGACCTGGAAGTTATCGTGGCTGGTGGAGAATGGGGATGGCGTGTTTGAGCACATATGCTCAGTCCAGGCCTGTCTGGGATCCATGAGACCCACAGGTGTGTGTGACCCCCACCCGCCCCACCCCCACCCCTCTCACTGATTCTCTCTTAGGCTCTCTCCCTCCCTGTCAATATCCCGCTCCCTATCTCAGTGACTCTGTCACACTCTGGTGGCTCCGGCTGATGAGACGAATTCTGTTCACCGTCTCTGAGTCCCCACTGGCCGTCCCCTGTCCCCCCAGCCATCCCCTGTGTGTGCCCGCGGTCTGCTGCGGGGTCAGCCCTGTCCCTTTGCCACGGGGAGGTCACCCTCTCAGCGAGTTGTTTTGTTTGTTTTCTCTGGTGAAGGTTGACATAGTTGTTTGTTTTCAGATTGGTAGAAGACTTGGTGCTTGATAGGAGATAAAAGTCCCTCTGCGAATTTAGGGGAGGAGCACAGGGTCCGTCCCATCCCAGGAGGCTCTTAGCAACAGGCCGTGGGGAGCTCAGTGTCTGTGGGAACAAAGCACTGCTCCTTATCTGGGGAGCAGGGACTTGTGGCATGGGACCCTTTGCATTGTCCTCTCTCAGCTGTTCTGGACGAGGCACCCACTCACCTGCCCATCACTCAGCCTCAGTCTTGGGCTAAACTGGACTGACCCTACCTGCATCAGCACCAAAATCCCATCATGTGGCTAATAGGGCATAGCTAGGGTAGAGGTGCTTTGTGGGCTCCTGGTTAGGCTCTGACATGCTGAAGGTCTATCCCACCATGCATGCCTCTCCAGATGCTGCACCTCACCAGGTCCTGTCCCATCCCATGGCTCCTTCAGAGACGTGTTCCAAGACTTCCTGTCTGAGACTTCCAAGACTTCCCTTCCTGTCCTGAGCCCAGAAGTGGGCATGGCCAGACAGCCGTGACTCTTGGACTGCGGCGCTTGGGAACACGGCATCTGGAAGCTAGTTCTTTCTGCTTTGCACTGCAAGGAACACCATGAGGTCCCCTGGATGGGTTAGGGCAGGATGCAGGGGCAGGAAGCAGGGGCTGGAGCCTCCCGCCAGCAGTAAGCAGCTCTGCATTCTTTGGGTGGGAACCATCTCGAGGGCACCCCTTAACCCTGGTCCCTCTGGGCCCTCTCCTCAGCAATATACAGGAAATGTCAGAGTGCCCCGAGAACCAGCAAGAATTGTCCTTCTAATGCTGTCACTGCCCGGGCTCTGCTTCATCGCTGGCATCCTGGAGGGGAAGTCCAAGGAGAGGCTGGTAGAGTGCAGGTGTCACTGCCTTGTGGTGACCTCCATCAAGGGCATAACCTAAGTGGTCCCCTCTCCTCAGTCTCCTGCGCACCCGCCCACTCTGTGGCCCACATCCTACCTCAGGGAGCCTGAGTCTGCAACTGCCGCTACCACCCTGGTGTTTTTAGCCTTGTCAGTCCCAGCAGGCCAAGGGCAAGGTGGTGGGTACTGTGTACCTGGCAACATCTTCACAGAGCAAGGGAATTGCTGTTAGCGATGTTAGCAGTGCCCACAGGCTGTGCTCGCCAGCCGGAGGCCTCCAGACCGCTAGGGGAGAATTCTCCTCCCTCTTTGGTACCAAGACGCCAGTAAGGATAAGCAGGCTGCCCAGCATCGCAGCTCAGACGAGTGTGGTGGGCAAGGCTGGTGCCCAAGCGCATCCCCGCTCCTGCAGACTGGCTCAGTGTCCCCTGCACTGTGTCTGGAGCTTCTGGGTCAATATTGCACAGCAGTGCAGTACCCAAGGTACCAAGGTCAAACCATCATTAGCAGGCCCTTCTTGGGCTCCGTGTTTGGGGTCAGCCCTCTGTAGGCCATCGCAGGGGATTTGTGGAGAAGGGGGAAGGTTTCACCGCTGGCGGGAATGCCGAGGGTGAACCCGTCTCACAGAAAGCACCCGAGAAGCAGGACTACAGCACAACCCACTGTGCCACGCGCGCACCGGTGAACACCTGCACCCCCTGCTCACTGAGATGTCACAACAGTCAGGGTGGGTCAGCCTTGGTGTGCTCTGTGGGTGCTGGATGCAAAGGGCGTGGCTCACAGACGCAGTGGGATACAACTTGGTCATAAAACATCATCCTGTTACTTCAGGACCCCGGATGAGCTAGAGAACCCCCTTTAAAAAGTGAGGTGAGCCAGGCAGAGAGCTGGCTGCCGTTGCGGAATAATTCGTTTAACGAGGCAAAGATGTGTTGCATTTGTGTTAATTAAATAAAGTTAGACTGGCCTCAATGAGGCGGGGCTAGCCAGTGATTGACAGGAAGTAGCAGAAAAGGTCATATGTAGTGCCGGTGTTTTAGCTGGGTCAGTGTGGAAAGAGAGAGGCTTCCGGGGACACCAGCAGAGAGAGGAAGTTAGCCAGTTGCTGCTCTAAGTCTCTGCACTCGCAGGTTTATAGCCTAGCCCTTAACTCTGGAGTTTTATTAGAATGATAGAGAACAGGCTATGGCTTGAGTGCCAGGCTGCTAGTAGTTTAAAGTGCAGCCACCGTGACAAGGGAGAAAGCATTTTGGTGCTTTGTGTTGGTAGCCAAATGTAGCAGGCTTTCTCGACAGCCCATAATCATGACGCGGAGACTTACCACTAATCATGAATGCTCGGCCTTGTCTCACACCTGTCCCCTGGCTCTATAACTTGAGTTAACCTGCTTCTCTTCATCTACGTTTGCCCTGGGGCTTTTTACCGTTCTCTCATTCTGTACGACCTCCTTCCCTGCGTCCTCCATATTTGGCTGACTGGCAGCTGGCTGGCTGGCTGGCCTCAGGCCTCCCTCTCTTTCTCCCTCATTCTCTCCTCTCTAAAGCCTAGACTCCTCCTACTGCTTATTCTCTCTGCCTGCCAGCCCCCACCTATCCCTCCACGGCCTAGCTATTGGCCATTCTGCTTTTTATTAGAACAGTCAGGTGCCTTAGGCAGGTAAGGTGAAACAGCAGCACATCTTTACATGGTGAAGTAAATGCAGCATGGGCAAATGCAACACACCTTTACATAAAGTAATATCCCGCAACTGACTACTGCCGTGCCCTCGCTCATTCCATGTGGGACCTAAGAGGCTGCATCTCCAGGAAGGAGAGTGAGTGAGGAATCCCTCCCCCTGCCGCCCCACACCCCCGAGCGCTGAGTCCTCCCGCAGCCCTGCAGTGCAATGGGCTGAGTGGAGCCTGGAAGATGAAGGATCCTCTGCGGGAGAAAGAAAGGCAGGGCTGAAGTATGCTCTCCAAGAATCCATCATGGACCCGTGCATCCCTCAGACCCATGCCTCAGTGGGGGTGTAACCACCCCAACTTCTCCATCATCACAGCCAGCCAGTGGCCCCTAATTTGTGCTCTTAAAACTTTTTTTTTTGGTTTTTGGAGACAGGGTTTCTCTGTATTGTTTTGGAGGCTGTCCTGGAACTAGCTCTGTAGACCAGGCTGGCCTCGAACTCACAGAGATTCACCTGCCTCTGCCTCCCAAGTGCTGGGATTAAAACTTAATGAGAGTACTGGGCAGGGTGCTGGGGAGCTGAGGAGTACTGGCTACTGTTGGGGTTGGGGGTTCAAAGCCCCAGTTACACAGGATGGTCTGGCTGAAGCTCTGCATGGTGACTCCAGTTAATACCACTTAGGCGAATATTTCCTGAGTGAGTCTGGACTCTTCTAACTACACAGGCACACATGCAGCTGAGGCAAATGGGGGTGATCGTAGAAATTACCTCCAGGTGTGGGCATGCATCGTGTTGCACAGCTCAGCCGCTCTGGTGTCTGCTTGTCCATGCACCTCCGTGAAGCTGTGTTCAACATCATAGGTCACAGGGAGATCCCAACCGAAGGACGCCCAGAGAGTAGAGCTGCGTCCATGGTTTGTGGGGTGAAGACTGCTCGCTTCCTTATGGGGCTGCTGTCTCCCAGGCTTCTGTGTTCATCGGAATGCCCATGCTTCTACTCCAGCCTGCCTCTGTCCCCTTGCTGGAGAGACTCACCTGCTAGCCTAAGGAAGTCACCAGTGGTCGGAGGCAGGTGGTTCCTGCCACGCACACCGGCAGCGCCCTCTGCAGCCCAGGTTGTTCAGCCTACCGTGGTTCAGGCTGAGTCCTAGAGTGCTACCAAGCTGTAGGCTGGAGCTGCCCCTGTTACCTCGAGCCTGTGCTCAGCATGTACTGGTTTGCATCGGGGGGGGATGAGGGAGGCCCCGTTTCATGGTCACGTAATCATGCTTCATGGGTCATTAACTGGGTGTGTACAATGCCTGCACCAGAAGGCACCCGACATAGGTGAGCAGAAGCAAGTGCCCCTCAGCCCCCACCCTCCAGTGATTCCAGGTTGGGCTGGTGTGGTCATCAAAGCCCC